CCTGCTGAGGCCTCAAGATGGTAAGTGATGTATGTTGACTTTGAGGTCAGAACATTTAATTCTGCACCAGTATCTCCAAAGAAAGAGAGAGTGTGCATCAAATGTCTTGATCCCATTATGTGGAAGCTTCCAGAAAACGTTAACGTTTTTATTTTATTTTATTTTATTTTATTTTACTCCTCCAACCTCTTAAGTTTCTGCTTCAGCTTTTTACTTTTCTCTCAAGTCACTACATAGCAACCACCATAGCAGCTAAACAACTGCATAGCAGTGCCCTAGCAACTACCTAGCACACCCTAGCATTGTGGCAGAGAGTTTTGCTTAGGCAAGCACGAATTCTGGTTTATCTGTGTCAATGTCAGCTGCTGAAAGACACTCATATAGCAGGAATGTCACACACAAACAGCCGCAGGGGTATCTGGCACAAGCTCATAACCGTCTCCATGCCCACAGGGATGGGGTCAGAGCAGCATATGGCCTGGCACTCGGTAAAGGTCACTCTAGACTTCTCATCTTTAAACTTCTCACTCTTGTCCTCTCTGTTTCTTCTCCAGGGAACATCACCAGTTCGTGTTGTTGTGTATGAAACTCTTGTCCATCCACCTGTCGTTGGCCCACGCAGGGGGAACGGGGGCCGCAGTGCTGGGCGCTCAGGGTCGGCCCCTCAGGAACCTGCTCTTCAGACTCATCGACTCTAATGTACCAGACTCCATACAACAGGTCTGCTGTGAAACACTGGGCTTCAGTGTGTTTTAGTTGTACTTTTTCTGCATTATATGCTAACTCAGTATTGCTTACAGTTACTGGTTTTGCACAATTCTGAATAGTTTGCATATATTTACAATTTACATATAGAATTATTACAATGTTCAAAAGTTTGGACTCTTTTTTTATCAAGAACGCATTAAATTGATGAAAGTTACAGTAAAGACATTTCAAATTTACAAAAGATTTCTGTTTAAAAAAAATGCTGTTGTTTTTTTACTTTCTATTCATCAAAGAATCATCATAAAATGCATCACAGCTTTCACAATAATATTAAGCAGCTGTTTTTTTTGACTGTTTTCAACATTGATAATAATAAGAAATGTTTCTAGAGCTCCAAATTTAGCTTTGCCATTACAGGAATAAATTATATATTTAAAATATATTAAAATAGGAAAGAGGTATTTTAAATTATAATAATATTTCGTTATATTACTCTTTTACTATATTTTTAAATAAATGCAGCCTTGGTGAGCATACGAGACTTCTTTCTAAAATCATAATAACCCTAAACTTTTGAACAGTAGTTTAATTTTTCCTTAAATTTAAATTTGAAGAAACAAAGCTTGCAGAAGGTGCTGAGTAGTTATGAATTTCTGTTTCATTATGTGATTTATTGTGCTCTTTGGCAAATTATACTTGGCAAGGCATATGTTATTTGTCAGTAGCTGTGTTTTCATCCAAGCTGCTAATTTAATTTATGCATGACAATGAAATATTGCAATAAAGAAATAAATAAAAGTAAAAATAATTTGTGAATGAAGAACATTGTGTTCAAGAGAACAAAACAGCTCTTTTTGAGGAGAACTGGTGCAAAATAGAAATTATAGCAATTGTGAATGCTACTGTGACTCTTTTATTAAACATACTAAATTGCATATTTTATTACATTTAGCCTACTTTTAAATATATTTTTTCTGCCTGAAGTAAACTTAGTATTATATGTGTTTATTATAGGTACAAAAATGTATTTGTTTCCATACAGCATTTTTAAGGCTCAAAACAGATATTTTGTGTTTAATAAAAAAAAAAAAACACTAACTGTACAATCTATAATTTCTGGCAACAGTACAAAACCGTAAACAACTCCAGCCAATCAGAATGCTTGCTGGCGTTCCGCCCACATGTTAAAAACTCTTAAGATGATGGAATCTGTTGGCTCTGTTTTCTTTTTGAGGGAGTTTGCAGGGTACACGACTTTTCACAACCTTCAAGAGTACAGTGTAACTTTTTGACTGAATCATCGTCAGAATGCCAGCATATGAGTCATTCCCACACCATAGTAATTAATTTTTGTTTGTGTGTTGAGGCGGTAATGACCACGCTGTCTATGGGAGCGTCTCTGTTGCTGCCTCCTCTCAGGGAGAGAACGGAGCTGCTGCACTCGCTGTTACCACAGGGTCCAGAGAGCTGGGAAAGCCTCTCTAAAGGACAGGTACGCAAACGCAACAATATTAAAGTCTGGCACATATATCAATATTTGCTGAGAAACCCCTGCTGTTCCTCTAATGATTCTGTGATATTACTATTACAGCGTCTACAGCTGGACATGGTGCTGAACAGCCTGCAGGAACAGAGTCACGTGGCGTCCCTGCTGGGATACAGCTCACCTGGGGAGTTGAGCGCAGGTCTGGCACTGCCGCCCACCCCTGACCGCCCCACAGGAAGTGTTAGCTCTGGCTCAGAAATTCCAGACCAACTCCACCTGGCTGAAGTGCTCCTGAAGACCTTGCTGCTCAGCATCGGGTTCTATACAGTCAGTTCAACAGTTGTACAATCTACTGTACATCTTGGGCCTCTTTTGGACATTTTTTATTTTTATTTGTTGATATTATAATTTGTAATATATAATTAAGAATTAATATATAATATTATAATATTAAATAATGTATAATTGACAATATATTTAATACATATTGAATATAATAACTTATAATATACATTACTGTTTTTTACTGTCATTTTTGACAGACCAAAACTGCATTTATTTGATCAAAAATACCGTAAAAACAGTAATATTGTGAAATATTATTACAATTTAAAATGACTGTTTTCTATTTTAATATATTTTAAAATATGTTATATTCTTGTGATGACAGCTGAAATTTCAGCATCATTACTCCAGTCTTCAGTGTCACATGATCCTTCAGAAATCATTCTAATAAGCTGATTTGGTGCTCAAGAAACATTATCAATATTAAAAATATGAAAATATTTTTGTGGTAACCACATAATTTTTTATTACAATTTAAAATGACTGTTTTCTATTTTAATATATTTTAAAATATGTTATATTCTTGTGATGACAGCTGAAATTTCAGCATCATTACTCCAGTCTTCAGTGTCACATGATCCTTCAGAAATCATTCTAATAAGCTGATTTCGTGCTCAAGAAACATTATCAATATTAAAAATATGAAAATATTTTTGGGGTAACCACATAATTTTTTTTATGATTCTTTGATGTATAAGAAGTTTAAAATAACAGCATTTATTTGAAATGGAAAGCTTTTGTAACATTTTAAATGTTTTTACAGTAATTTTTTATAATTTTAATGCATCCATGCTGAACAAGATTTAAAAAAAATCTTACTTACCCAAAAAGTTTTGAATGGTAGCGTATGATAATACTAATTTAATTTAATAATTCATGTATGCAAAAATTTAAACCTGTTTCTAATGCTCTCTGCCTACTTCCTACACAGGAATTGCTTGTAGGAAAAGCCAATCAACTGAGATGTTTTGTTGTATTTAATTACGTATATTAAATGAAAAATAAAATGTATAAAATTATAAAAGGGATTTAATGTGTGATATATTTTAGAAAAATCAAAACACAAATCATAACATGTTCTCCTTTCTGTTCACTCTGTTCCCTGTTTGTTCATGCAGGAGCGTGCGTTTGGCGAACTGGAGAAGAACAGTGATAAAC